CAAATAGGAAGAAAAATGATGTAATCATCTTACCTCTAGCTGAAAAATATTACACTGTATGCCATAAGCATAAACTGCAATAAAAAAATATTAGAGAAGGGATAGACAGTTGAAAGGTAGTGAATTCATATTTATTATGCAGAAGTTCAGAACCCTTTCACATAGAAAGTCTTCTTTGATCCACAGAAATATTTCTTCCACAAGGGGACTATAGTAGAAAATTGAATACCTCACAAATTTTATATAGCATACTAATAATGGCTTGAAAAAATTATGTTCTTCACTGTGGCATGTTTAATTTCTCTTGCATTACTGGTTGGGTTGGCATTTTTGTTTGTTTTTTTTTGATTGATTTTTTTTTTCCTCTTCGAAGGCATCTTCGAAACTTTTTAAAGTTTAATTAGCTTTCATGGAGTTGGATTTGGCATTTCCAGACTAATAATCAATATAAAGTCAAATGTTTTTTATGGAACCATTTGCCGTACTCAATAGTCGGGAGTACGGGAAGTAATTTTCATCATTCCTTCCTAGTATTTTACTTTCTTGCTTTATCTTTTTTGTGTCAATCCAATCAGCATTTAATTCTGTCCATCCCACAGCAATGAAACTGGCACTTTTTTCTCCTTCCTACTGTCAGAAGGCTTTTGGATGTCATAATTTGCCTTTCCAATTTTTTGGAAGGAATTAGGATTATAGTAACTACATGAGCTTTCTCAAGCCTTTGTCTTTGCAAAATTGTCAATGAGAAGCAGACTTCCCATCCTCTTTTGCAGTAATGCCCTCAGATAAAACCCCACATGGAACACTTTCCTGAGACTAAAAAGTAATCTGATAAAGCAGCCTGGAGAACAGATTGAGGATCAAGATTTGATACATAGGTCTCTGTGTGAGGTAACATAAGCAGGAGATGATAAAAATGTTTGCATGAGCAGATCAGTTTCTTACAGATTTTAACCTCTGCTGCACAAAGTTGCTATCCAGTTGGTTGAATGAATCCTGTGAAAATTGTTGGAGTTGACATACCAACCCTGACAACTGAAGTTGGCTGTGCCTAAATTCAAGTTAGAAAATCACTTGTCAGGATGTCACAAAGAGCATTTCTACACTATTGTGGTGCTGTTTTTAGGCTCAACAAATATTGATGAAGATAAGCTGCCAGTTTCTCTATTGTGAGCTGCATTATAGAATGAAGCCCTTATATAGTGCTGCTCACTTCTTAAATATTATAGTAAAATTAATCTATCAGGCTTTTCTGACAGTTTTCCTGCAAAGAAGGCCAGAAGTCAAGGATGGAAAACTGATCTTTGTGTGGTCAGGATTTGCAGTACCTCTAAGTACATTTCAAATACAAGATAAGACAATAGAAGTTAAGAATTCAAACAGAAGGAGGTTTTTACTGAGGTCAAAGCTGCAGTCTGACCCCACCAGTCTGTTTCTGATAGTGACAGTGCAAGATGCTAAACGATATTCTAACTCTAGAAAATGTTTTCCTTTATTGTATCCAATTTATCTTTTCAGTAATACTGATAATGCAGATAATGCTGTCAGCCTTGAGAACCCTTGTGATGACAGATTTCTCAAGTTCACTACCTGCTGTCTAAATGAGTTATTTTTGTTTGTTTGCTGAGTTGATGCTCTGTTTTGGTGTTGCACAGAACTTGGTGAAAAGCCCTTTGGTATTTACCTTAACACGCTGTTGTTCCAGTCTTATAAACTTGCTCGTATTCTCTGTATATATTTACTTCTGAGGGTTCGAAATTTCTTTATGTATAGGGCAGCTGCTCTTCTCCTTAGCAGAGAGATTCAGAGATGAGAACTACATGTAGAAATTGTGCTGTGTCGAATGGATGCCCTGAGTTTTATCATTGGAAGTTGAAGACAGATTCCAGAGTAAGACTGGTGTAATTCGTTGTGTGCTGTTTGGTGTGGATGGTCTTAAGTTTGGTATTCAGAACTATTGTTTCTGCAATTGAGTAATGCAACACTTCAGCTTCAGGAGTAGAGACTGTTCTCACATGCACTATTTTCTTAACAGCAACAGAACTGGAGAAGATGGTGCACCAATTCATTACCAGTTCAACAGCCATGACATGTAATAGTAATTTTAGAACCTAATATTTTTTTTTAGTCAAAATTTCATCAATTTCTGTTCAGAACAGATCCAGGAACTTAATTTTAAGTCAGTCATGCAAAAATGGGACATATCTGTTACTTTCAATGTTTTTTGTAGAGAAAATCAATGTAAAGACAAATGCACTTTTCATTGTTATGGTGTGGAATTGTAACACTGTTAATTAAAAGTTTATTTCAATGACAGTTTATGTGTTAAAGGTTTTGAGGCAGTATACATGTAAGGTTTACTTAAATTATTTTGGAGTCATGTATAGTTGAAAACACTTCTTCAGAAAGTTAATATATTCAAGAAAGATATCAATGTTAAATATATAAGTAAGCATATGGGTTGTCTAATTGTATCCATTTAATTTATCAGACTAAACATGTTTTGAAACTGTCAGACAAACTATTTCTCTTTTCTATTACAACTGCAGCCTAAAATGCATTGATCTTTATTTACCATAGAATCTTGGAATGGTTTGGGTTGAAAGAAGAAGATAATTTAGTTCCAACCCCCTCTATCATTGGCAGTGAAGCGATATCCGGACTAAATAAATAGACTCCACAACTCGAGGTAGTTATGAAGTGGGTATGTATGGGAGCGCCCGGCACAAGGGAGATCACTCTCTGAAGCCTTGTGCCCCGAGCTGAAGTTTGCCCCCTGACTTTATTCACAAAGGTGTTACATATGCAATACATTACACAATTTTTCTATGCATATTCAACCCCTGGCCCCGCCTGTCTTCGCTTCCCATGCTAAATAGGTCCACGCCTTTCTGGGCACGCGTAGTTCTTTGTGAGGGTCTCTTATGGGGGTCCCTGGTGGTCTTTTTATTTATATCTTAGTCTTCCTCAGCATTGAACTTTTGAACTCTCCTCCTCTGCGCTTGCGCTTTTGGTCCTTTGCTCTCTTATCTGGATAAGTTCATCATTTTTGACATGCTGGCGACATAGGGCTTCCTCGTCTGGGGTCTTAGCATTCTTTGTCCATTCCGGTATTTGTCCTTTGCAAGCAGCTTTAGAGATCTTTGTTTTCCTTTCCTATGCCCTTCTGTGCAGGGGTTTCTTAAAATTCAACACACAATTCTACAAACATAATACATTCATTTCTGATACACTCATTTTTGATACATTCCTTTTATACATCTATTTTTGATACATTCATTTCTGATACATTCATTTTGTTAGTTTAAGTGATCTCTGGAAAATCTTTTGTTTCAGTCCCCCCTTTTCTTAAAACATAGTAAATTCTTTTACTACAGGGGTTCTGGTTTCATTCCTAGCTTACTATCATGATAGTCTTCTTTTATCAGGATCCCATGAGTTCTAGAAAGTGAAGTTAGAATGGCTACACGTTGTAACATATTCCAATTCCACACAAGTGTTAAAATAGACATTTTCAAACTTATGGTAACCAATATTAGTAAAACAATAATGGGGTGACATAGAGTGTTCATGATGCCCGTCGCAGTCGGTGACCACCCAAACAATGCATCCCACCAGTTATGACTCCCATCTTGTTTTATTCTTTGCAGGACTTTGTTTATTTCAGTTACGTCATGATGGACTGTAACCAGAGTTCTCTGCCCATTTTTATGAACCTCCTCTATAATTTTGATTAGATCTTGATGTTTCATTAATTGTTTTACTAGGGTCAGATTCATCCCAATAGTTGTGGGAGGTAATTCATCGTAGGTTGTGTAGTTTGACTTCATTAACTGGTGGGATACGACTGGTGCTGAGTATATAAAATCACACCCGGTAATCTTGATGAAATTACAAATACAGAAATTTGAATGATTTTTACTAGACAAGGGGACTTTGTTTTTATCAATTTCTATAACGTTACACACAGTTCTCAAACACACACAGCCATCGCCTATGTATACTAGTATAGTTTGTTGGTTGTTGTCTGGATGGATTTCAAAGTGGCAAATACCCTGATCAGTGTCAAGGCATACGTCTTGAGCACTAATCAGATTACTCTCACAGATGAATCCTTGTTGCTCTCGAGCAATGCAAGGCTCTAGGTTGATGGTTTGCCATTTCCCTTGGTTTTTCCAGGCCCATGCTCTGTGTTCTGAGGGGTAGAGTACTGACTTTTCATGACTTAATCCTAGAGCAATGATGGGGTGAATAGTGTGAACCGTGGCATTACGAACGGTGAGCACGAAGGCAGTAGCTGTGGTAGTGGTGGGATCATATGTAAAATTTACCATGGTCCACCAAGACTGGAGGTCTCTCTCAAAGTCTGTAGCACTGTCCCAGACAACTTTTCGTATTTCTACTGGAAACACCCCTTCACTTCCTTCCCTTATGATTAGAGCAGCTGTTGACTGTATCCATAATTGCGCTTGTATACAACTAAGGGCTAAAGATATGTTCTCTTGTGCTCCTCCTAATGCATCTATCAGTAAACTATGGTCATGATCTTCAAAGTTTCTCCATTTTGGCAATACTCTTGAAACTTGCCACTGACTATTTCCTAGTGCTAATAGAGATGACTGTAAGGGTTGTTTTAATTTTGTTAGGTCACTAGTTGCTATAGCTAATTTATTCATCAATATTTCAGAGTCAATCCCGTTCAGAACTCCTAACCCGGTCCCTAAGATCCCAGTCAAATCCCTTTGCATTCTATCTCGGAGGTGTACTCGTTTTTGTAGCCACTTTGTCCATCCTTCGAAGGACGACCTTAGGAAAGGGGAGCAGGCTGGCTGAACTGTCGAGATATTAATTTGCATTAACAGTTCAACGCGTTTAAGGGACCATTCTGGGTTAAATAACAGTTTTTGTTGGCCCGTATTCCTTATAACATATGGCCCGATTTCATAAACTCTAGGTTCAAGATTGGATGGTGTATTTTGGGTTTGCGCTTGAGTGCTGGAGTGGGTCGCAGCTGGTTTGGCTATAGCATTTATTATAAATTTAAAGGACAGCCCAATAGTGTCACGGGCCCAGAGGCAAACCACTTTACTAGTTTGTTCTAATTTGAATTTGCACCAACAGTCTAATTCACTTGGATGGTTGCAAATCTCTTGGCGATCATTTACACTGATTTGAGTCACTTTGTTGTGGGTAGTCCCATTAATCATTCGACACCCTACTTCAATTACTTCTCCTATGGTCCCTTGGAGTGACCACAAACCCTGGTTTTGCCACTCTTGTTGGGTATATATTTGATTACTGTGTATGACCAGAGTTGTTAGATTTAAACCTTCTAAATCGGAAGTTTTCCCCATGGATCCAGTGTATTGAGTAAAGGCTTGGGACCAAGGCCATTTAACGTCGTTCTGACTAGGTTTACCTTCTAATTGTTGGAATGCAGCTAAGATTGTAAACAATATTTCAGTAAAAGTCCCCACCCACCATGACATACTCATTTTGTTCGAGTAAATTTTAGTTTTAGTTCACCATCACCCGGTGTTATCTTCCAAGTGGCTTCTGGAGCTTTCTTAACCCGACTGTGGTGGATCCAGGCGCTTTGTTCTTTAATCTTGATTGCAGTGAAGGTAGTAAGGAGTACTTGGTATGGTCCCTCCCACTGTGGTTCCAGGGCTTTCTCTGTAAGAGACTTAATATATACATAGTCTCCAGGTTGTACATCATGTACCGGTGCATCGAGTCCCATACCCCGAGTTCCGGCTATATATTTCTCGATTGCTCTAAGTTGTTTATTTAGAGCGATCATATAGGAGGTTAGTGATACGTCCTGGGCAGACGTTCCCTTCTGCACCCCATATGGTCTTCCATAAAGCAATTCAAAAGGGCTCAGTTTTTCTTTGGTCCTGGGTTTGGTTCGAATCCGCAGTAGTGCTAGTGGGAGGGATTGGGGCCATGGCAAATTAGCCTCCTGTCCCAGCCGTACAATTTGTTGTTTGATCAAATGATTCATTTTCTCTACTTGACCACTTGATTGTGGGTTATATGGGGTGTGAAGTTCCCAGTCTATGCCCAAGTATTGGCTCACCTGTTGTACTAATTTTGCAATAAAATGTGATCCTCTATCTGAGGAAATTGTAGCCGGGACCCCAAATCGTGGTATGATTTCTTGTACCAATACCTTAGTTACCTCTCGAGCTTTAGAAGTTCTGGTGGGGAAGGCTTCTGGCCATCCTGAAAAGGTATCTGTTAGGACCAGTAAAAACTTATACCCCCCTTTTCTTGGTAATTCCGTGAAATCAATCTGCCATTGTTGTCCTGGCCCATGGCCCTTCCCAATCTGGCCAAGTTTTGGTTTGGGAATATTCTTGGGGTTTGTCTGGAGGCAAAGATCACATTGTCGAGTCACTTGAGTGATGGTGGCTCGTAAATGTCTAGCTATGATCTTCTCATTCAGATATCTATACAAGGCATCTATTCCCCAATGCGTTTTCTGGTGCTCTTCCCTTACTAGGGACCATAATAAATAGAAGGGTATGACTAACTTTCCTTCTATGGTAGCCCATCCCTCTGAGTTATAATGTCCTTTTTGCTCTTGAATCAATTTTGTGTCTAATTTGTTGTATTTCGGCTTACCTTCGAGGGAAATCTGCCCATCTGGGATCAGTGCTACCTCAGTTATTACTTCCATCTTTGCTGCTTCTTTTGCTTTCCTATCCGCCAGCTCGTTTCCTTCTTCCAGTTCTGAGTTTATCCTCTGGTGTGCCTTAATGTGCATGATCGCTACTTTCTCTGGCAATTGCACTGCTTCCAGAAGTCGCAGTATTTCAGATGCATGTTTAATGTTTTTTCCTTGAGAGTTCAGCAGTCCCCTCTCTTTCCAGATGGCTCCATGAGCGTGCACTATTCCGAAAGCATACTTTGAGTCTGTATATATATTTATCTCTTTCCCTTTTGCCAATTCTAAGGCCCGAGTTAGGGCGAATATTTCGGCCTTTTGTGCAGAGGTATTTGTTGGCAGGGGTCCAGATTCTATTACCTCTTTGCAGGTGGTTACTGCGTACCCGGCGTGCCGTTTTCCATTGACGACATAACTGCTTCCGTCCGTAAACCAGGCTTCTGCATTCTCGAGAGGGGTTTCTTTCAGGTCAGAGCGGCTGGAGTAGGTGGCCTCAATGGTCTCTAGGCAGTCATGCTCCACTGGTTCTCCTCGGTTTCCACTGAGGAAGGAAGCTGGGTTGACAATGTTAGTCACCACTATCTCTACATCATCTTGTTCTACCATAATAGCTTGGTACCTCAGGAATCGTTGTGGGGAAAGCCAGTGTCCGCCTTTCACCTCCAGTACTGCAGACACCGTGTGAGACACTAGCACAGTCATTCTCTGGCCCAGGGTGAATTTACGTGCTTCTTGGATGTTCATTACAACTGCTGCTACAGCCCTGAGGCACCCAGGCCACCCTTTAGCGGCTGTATCTAACTGTTTAGAGAAATAAGCAACTGCTCTCCGGTATGGACCGAGGTCCTGTGCTAATATTCCCAAGGCAATTCCTTGCTTTTCATGGGAGAACAAAAGGAAAGGCTTACTCACATCTGGCAGTCCCAGAGCTGGAGCTGACATGAGGGCTTTTTTCAGTTGGTTGAAAGCCTGTGTAGTTTCCTTTGTCCACTGGATGTCCCTGCTTTCAGTTGCAATTAGTTCATATAAAGGCTTTACAAGCAGTCCATAATTATAGATCCATAATCTGCACCACCCTGACATCCCCAGGAAAGTTCGTAACTCCTTTACAGTTTGAGGTTTTGGGGTTTGACATATTGCCTCCTTCCGGCCTTGGCCCAGGCTACGTTGTCCAGCACTGACTTCGTAACCCAGATAAATTACTTTTTGTGTGACTACTTGGGCCTTTTTCCTGGATACCCGGTACCCTTGGAGCCCCAGAAAGTTCAAGAGGCTTACCGTCCAGGCCACGCATGCTTCCTTTGTCCGTGTGGCTATCAGGATGTCATCTACGTACTGTAACAGCTTTCCTTCTTCGGGAGGGGCTTTCCAAGTCTCTAATTCCTTCGCAAGTTGCTCTCCAAACAGAGTGGGTGAATTTTTGTATCCTTGTGGGAGTCTCGTCCACGTAAGTTGGGTCTTCCGCCCACTTTTGGGGCTTTCCCATTCAAATGCAAAAATTTTCTGACTGGCTTCATGGATAGGAAGGCAAAAGAAGGCATCTTTTAAATCTAAAACGGTAAACCAAGTTAATTCGGGTGTTAAGCAAGTTAATAACGTGTAAGGATTGGCTACCACAGGATGCAGGTCCTCAGTTACCTTGTTCACAGCTCACAGATCTTGTACTAACCGGTATGACCCATCAGGTTTGCGCACCGGTAGGATAGGGGTATTAAAATCGGACTGACATTCCTTGAGAATTCCTAGACGTAAGAAGTTTTCAATTATTGGGCTAATCCCTTCCCTATCCTCCCTCCTCAAGGGATACTGTTTAACCCTGACCGGGTGTTTTCCTTCTTTTAGCCGGATCTGTATAGGGGAAGCATTTTTCGCTCTCCCTGGTACATCAGAGGCCCACACCCCAGGGAATACCTGATCCATTACTTCTTCATTAATTTCAGTTTCTCTCGTGATTTCATTAGTGGTTAGTATCAAACTTAATATTTCTACATATTTTTGATCGTTTACCTCCAGAGTCATTTCCCCATTTTTAAATGTAATGGTTGCTTGTAATTGTGCTAGCAAATCCCTGCCCAAAAGTGGCTCAGGGGAGTTAGGCATATATAGGAATTTGTGAATCCCCCACTGCTTTCCCAGTTTGTATTTGAGTGGCCTGAAGAAAAATGCCTTTTCAGTTTGGCCAGTCGCACCCCTAACTATAACATAATCATCTCCTATAGGCATCAAAGCTGTATTTAGAACTGAGTATGTAGCCCCAGTGTCAATTAGGAATCTTACTTCTTTCTCCATTTCCCCCAGCTTCAGATTTACAACCAGAGGGCCTGCTGGGGTAGTCTCCTCCGGTCCTCCCTAATCTTCTTGCACATGGGCCACCATTGCCCCCCTTTGATTCCCTTGACCATTTTGTTTCCATTCTGGACAGTCCCTCTTCCAATGGCCCTGTTTCCGACAGTTTGCACATTGATTTCTGCCCAATCGGGGGGGGCCTTGCCTGGATGGCTCCTGCCTGTTTCCATGTTTTCCTCTCCGCTCCTCCTGTACTATTGCTACTAAATTTTTCATCCCTCGCTTATATCCTTCCTCCCTGTTGCTAAAGACCCCCCAGGCTTCTCCCAGTAGATTTTCTAGATTCCGGGCGTTTTCTCCTCGAATCTTCTGGAGCTTGCGCCTGATATCCCCTGTGGACTGTCCCAAAAATAGATTAACTAGTTGCTGTATTCCCACCTCAGATGCAGGGTCTAGTGGTGTATAGCGCCGCATTGCATTTCTCAAACGGTCTAGGAACTCTGTGGGGGATTCCGAGGGTCCCTGTTTGATAGCATATAGAGCTGACCAATTTATGGTCTTAGGAATTGCTCTTTCCACTCCCAATATTACCCAGTCTTGGTACTTTTTTAGCTTTTGTCTCTCTTCTAGCTGGTTTGGGTTCCAGCCTGGGTCTTGAAGTGGAAAATGTTCCCTTAGATCTACTTCTTGTTCTCTAAAATGGTCTGCTACCAGATCTCCTGCTGTTTTTAGAACCAACTGCTTTTCTGTTTCAGTGAACGCATCTAATAACAATTGAATGTCACCCCAGTCTGGGTTGTGTTGCTTCATAATGTATCGTAAACGTTTAGCAGTGTTGACTGGGTCATTTCGGTAATCTCCTGCAACCCTTTCCCATGCTTCCAAATCAAGGGTGGAGAATGGTACCTTGACTAGTACCTTTTCTCCCTCTAATGTCACTGTCTCTCTTAAAGGGGCTTGCAGTATCTGTCCTCTGGTTCGGGATGCAATTGGGCTATCTGTAGGGGTTAGAGCATGTGTTCTTTCTGAAGGAAGAGAAGGGGTGGGTGGAACAGGTGTATGTGATGCAGGTGCTGCAGGTGCAGCAGGTGCTGCAGGTGCTGCAGGTACTGCAGGTACTGCAGGTACTTCAGGTACTGCAGGTAATTCAGGTGATGCTGGTGGGGTATGTAGTGGAGGTGTTCTAGATAGTGGTGATGCCTCTCCTGAGTTCTCACCTCTTCCTTCTTGCCTTCTTAGGTGAGGACTAAATAGATTACTTAGATCTTGTTCTTGCTCTTCTAGTGCTGTGCGATAAACTTTATCTGTCCTGGTGCACCTCTGTCCTATACTACAGGCTGAGCAGCACCGTTTAAGTTTCCCCATTTTGCCTCTGTTTTCTCTTTCCAGAGCCAGAACGAGGGGATCAGAGGGGGCCCTGATGCCACAGTCCCTTTGCCAATCAGAGTTATTTCTAAGGGAGAAAAACATATCACAATAAGAAACTTCCTCCCATTTCCCTTCCCTTCGTAAAAATAGCATCAATTGCAACAAGGTATTATACTCCAATGTACCTGTAGGAGGCCATCTGGCCCCCTCCTCTAGGCGATAGAGTGGCCACCAATGGGAGCAATATTTGATCAAGCTCTTTTTGTTTTCCACACCCCCTTTACCTGCTATTTCCTTCCAGTGAGCTAAGATACACCCTAATGGGCTGGCCTTGGATATTTCTGTACTTTGTTTTGCTCCCATTATGCCTCCTAGAGCCTTACAAATGTAATCTAGTAATCCAGGCCACTGGGGAGGGAAGAAGAGAAACAAAAAAAAATTTTTTTTTTTTTTTTTTTTTTTGTTAGTTAGGACTCAGCAGCAAATGTTCTTGATTTTGCACAACGACTACCTAGGAACTAGTGATGCTTGTAAGTGGTGTTTGCAAGTCCTGCCTTTTACTAGCTGCGCTAGTAGTTAGCAAGTCTGGGCTGCGTTCTTGCTCACCAGAGACAGCCCGCGCCGCGTCGCGGTATCTTAGCAACAAAAGCGCTGCGCTTTTCCGACCCCGCCGCGTCGCTTAGCAACGCTACGCGGCGACTTCCGGTAGCGCCGCGGCTTCCCGGCTTCGCCGCGTCGCTTAGCAACGCCACGCGGCGACTTCCGGTAGCGCCGCGGCTTCCCGGCTTCGCCGCGTCGCTTAGCAACGCCACGCGGCGACTTCCGGTAGCGCCGCGGCTTCCCGGCTTCGCCGCGTTGCTTAGCAACGCCACGCGGCAACTTCCGGTAGCGCCGCGGCTTCCCGGCTTCGCCGCGTTGCTTAGCAACGCTACGCGGCGACTTCCGGTAGCGCCACGGCTCTTACTGTTTCACTCACACAGACACACATATATACAAGCACGCACGTCCGGACATAACAAACACACCACACTGAAACGGAGATCTCTCTCTTTCACCTCGTGAGCTGCACAATCAGCCCTGGAGTTTTAACCCTTTCCTTCCTCCTTTAGCCGCGCAATCAGCTCAAAAACACAAAAAAAGGAGAGGGGGGGCCTCTCTTTCTCCTCTGGAGCTGCACAATCAGCTCTGGAATTTTAACCCTTTCCTCCCCCTTTAGCCGCGCAATCAGCTCAAAACAAAAAAGGAGAGGCGGGGCCTCTCTTTCTCCTCTGGAGCTGCACAATCAGCTCCGGAATTTTAACCCTTTCCTCCCCCCTTTAGCCGCGCAATCAGCTCAAAACAAAAAAGGGGGGGGAACACCCTCTCCGCCGATCTTACCCTTGGTGGCGGTCTGCTTGCAAGCCCCTTTGGCAAACCTGAGCGCAAGAAGCGTTTTAATGCGACTTATCAGTGCCGTTCTTAAACAAAAGAAAATAATACATACCACTTTTGTCCGTTTATCGACGGGCCGTGCTCTGCTCCCTGTAGTGTACAGCCGAGGTCCAGAATCCCTCCGGGGAAAATGTCCCGCGGCGCCTGAGGGTGTCTGCCCTCCACCGAACCCACAGGTGAGCAGAGAAGTCCCTTCATGGTCGCCAAATGAAGCGATATCCGGACTAAATAAATAGACTCCACAACTCGAGGTAGTTATGAAGTGGGTATGTATGGGAGCGCCCGGCACAAGGGAGATCACTCTCTGAAGCCTTGTGCCCCGAGCTGAAGTTTGCCCCCTGACTTTATTCACAAAGGTGTTACATATGCAATACATTACACAATTTTTCTATGCATATTCAACCCCTGGCCCCGCCTGTCTTCACTTCCCATGCTAAATAGGTCCACGCCTTTCTGGGCACGCGTAGTTCTTTGTGAGGGTCTCTTATGGGGGTCCCTGGTGGTCTTTTTATTTATATCTTAGTCTTCCTCAGCATTGAACTTTTGAACTCTCCTCCTCTGCGCTTGCGCTTTTGGTCCTTTGCTCTCTTATCTGGATAAGTTCATCATTTTTGACATGCTGGCGACATAGGGCTTCCTCGTCTGGGGTCTTAGCATTCTTTGTCCATTCCGGTATTTGTCCTTTGCAAGCAGCTTTAGAGATCTTTGTTTTCCTTTCCTATGCCCTTCTGTGCAGGGGTTTCTTAAAATTCAACACACAATTCTACAAACATAATACATTCATTTCTGATACACTCATTTTTGATACATTCCTTTTATACATCTATTTTTGATACATTCATTTCTGATACATTCATTTTGTTAGTTTAAGTGATCTCTGGAAAATCTTTTGTTTCAGCAGGAGCACCTTCCAGTACACCAGGCTGCTCAACACCCTACCCAAGCTGGCCTTGAACACTTTCCAGCAATGGGGCAGCAACAGCTTGGCTTGGTAACCTGCTCCAGTGCCTCATCACCTTCACAGTAAAGCATTTCTTCCTCATATCTAATCTAAAGTTGATCCTGTTCAGTTTAAAGCCCCTCTCCAATCACTTCATGCTCTTGTTAAATGTCCCTTTCCTACTCTCTTGGATGCCCCCTTTGGGTAATGGAAGGTTGCTGTAAGGTCTTCCTGGAACCCTGTCTTCTCCAGGCAGAGCAACTGCAGCTTTCTCAGCTTTTCTTCATAGGAGAGGTGCTCCAGCCCTCTGACCTTATTTTGGATTTATTTTGGTTTTTTTTTTTGGTTTTTTTTTTTTTGTGGTTTTCTTTTTATTTGTGTCTGTTTGTTTGTTTGTTTTTTATAGTTTTATTGTTTTGGGGGGTTTGTTTTTGGTTTTGCTTTTTTGGTTTGTTTTTGGTTTTTTTTTCTTTCCTTTTTAGGGTCTTTAATATCCTACAGGAAATTAATATGATTTTATATGAAGCTACAGCTTGGGTTTAGGGAATTTTTCCTTTCATCTCCAAAATACCCTAGCAAGGAAAGCTTATGGTGTGGGTTGGGGAATTTCTCCTTTTCTCTCCAAAATATCATAGAAATGGAAACTTGTAATGGTTGTTTTCATATGCATTTATTAGCTTGAAGAGCTGAGGCTTTGTCTTGTACAGAGAAGTGATGTAGGCTCAGTAGACAGCAATCCCCATGAAAGAGTAGAAATTTCCATGTATTTATACCTCTGCATACTCTCTGCTTTCATATCTTTGAGAAGCTATTTCATTTACACATCTCTCTGTCAGCATCCCTGTAATTTCATTATGAATATTCATATGCCATAAACAGATGTGCTGCAAATATTTAAAATATGGATATATCTATATGTATGAGTGCCTACAGATATTTCTGCTTATGAATGAGAACAGGAGGAAAATATATACTAAATTGTGCATTTTAAGTA